CGCCCCGCGCCGCGCCGCCGCCGCCCTCGGCGCCCCGCGGCGCCCCCCGGTCCCGCCCGCCATGCCCGGCCCGGCCGCGGGCAGTCGGGCCCGGGTCTACGCCGAGGTGAACAGCCTGAGGAGCCGCGAGTACTGGGACTACGAAGCCCACGTCCCGAGCTGGGGGTAAAGCCGCCGCCGGCCGCCCCCCACGCGAACCGCACCCGGCCGGCCGCTCGGCCTCGGGGCTGGCAGGGAGGCCCGGCCCCGGCCGCACGTGTCCCCGGCCTCTCTTGCCCGCCCGGGCCCAGCCCCCGGCTCAGCAGCCGGGGGGTGAATCGTGGGGTCAGGGGTTGGGACGCCCCTTCCTCCTCGCACTTTAGGATTCCTGTGGGATGGGAACCTTGGCTGTCCTCTTGAACTGTTAAAATCTCTACCTTTTACTTCTCTGAAATGAGGCTGGGTGGGAGGAACGTTTTGAACATGGACAGATTCTCTAAAGCAGGCATTGGCCCCTTGGAGGGTGTGAAATGGGAGATAGGTGCTGGGGAGCCGGGGACAATGGGGTGCTTAGCCCAGTTCCCTTAATGTGTCCCATAAGGCCCCTTAGCTGCCCCTCTCCTCAGGTTAGGAGTCAGGAGCTCTGCAGATTGAAGGAAGCTAAGCTTCTGTTTCCCTTTTATTTAGGTGTGAGGTGGGGACACAATGTATAGTGGACATAGGCTCGCTTAATCTCAAATCCTGGCATTTATGTGTGTCTCTTGCCTTCCACAGTAATCAAGATGATTACCAACTCGTTCGAAAACTTGGTCGGGGCAAGTATAGTGAAGTATTTGAGGCCATTAACATCACCAACAATGAGAGGGTGGTTGTAAAAATTCTCAAGGTGAGTGTCCTATGACTGGCTTGTAACATTTTCTCCCACAGGGCAAAAGGACCAGCTATTCTACAATAAGCCATTCAAGCTCTTATGTATCCCCTGGAGGATGCTCCTGTAGCACTCCTACCACATTTTCTTGTGAACTTTTGAGAAAATGTGCAAACTGGTATCAACTCTGAGTTTGATAGGTTAGGAACATTTAAAGTGTAATATTCTGGGTTTCTCAAACAAAACTTGTGAGAAGGGCTGTATTTGATGCAGAATAAATAGGTATTCACAAGAAAGAAAAGCCTTTGCATGGAGAATCAGTATAGGGCTCCTTCATTATTGTGCTTGTTAACTCTCTGCTCCAAATTACTCCAGAAAGTTGTTCAAAAAAACAAAACAGAACTGGAGTCTTTTCCGAGATAAGTTTAAAGCCAAAAATACAAGGGAGCTCTCCTAGCTGATACTCCCATTTAGTTGAGCAGTAAAGTTTCAGGTGAGCTGGATATAGCAAGCTGCTAAAAGAGATTTGGGGCAAAAGAAGAGTACATTCTAGCCACTGAAATAGTAACTGAAACAAAACTGTCTCCGCGGTAGGACTAGCTGTCTCACTTTCACAATGATAGGGTTTTTGTTATCACTCAAATGAAGACATGATCTTAATGAGCATAAAGAGTTGGCCAAGTTTTTGTACAAGTGATTGAAGATTAAGTAACGTTTTATAGGTTGTATGCGAAAGTGATCCTTAGGATCTGAGCAGTTCTTCATGGTTGTCAGATTATTTAATGAGTGTGCATGTCATCATAGGACCTGGGCAGTTCTTTGTGCTGTCAGATCGTTTAACAAGTATGTGTGTCAAAAGTGAAAGACTGAGAATGCTGGGAAGTGGTAGTGCTTCCCACGAACTTGCTTTTCACAGTGGCCCAGAGAAGGTTCTGTGAACAAAATGTGGGGTTGAAAAGCTTGTGCCTTGGGGCAGTAGAGTCATGTAGATTTTATATTTTGTAAATCGCTGCTGCTATTGCTCGTTACCATCCTAGCCTAATGATAAAGGAGCAGAATTGCTGTAGAGGCAGGCGATGCTGTCTCTGCTGCCCAGGACGCTGGGTTGAGAAATGAGGATGGCGAAAGTAGGGAGCTTAGCCCCGCTAAATATGAGTTGTACAGGTCTGTAGTTATGGAAGGGGTGTGTTTTAAGCAGAGAAATGGTTCTTTCGAGGATCTTGTTGGAGAAAACCATACAGTTTCATTACATACATAAACATAACTGTAAGGAGTAAGCAAAACAAATGTTAGGAATATCCACGTTCCATTGCTGTACAGTTGGAGGATTGAATTACATATTCCCAGGGAAATGTGTAAATGCTGTGCAACAGCATTTTTAGAATACAGTTTTCTGTGGTGTGTTTTGAAGGGAACCACACTCGGGCATGTATGTGAATCCCAATGTGTGTGTTTAGGGAAGCATATTACTGATTTTTGATCGTTCTTGTGAAGAGCTTCAGGGGTTAGTTGCTTGATAGTTTTCTTTTGCTCTAAAGAGTCTTCCCATATATTTATCATGTCCAGATGCTTCAGGTTATTTTTACAAATGTCAGGAGGCACAAAGAAATATACCTGACATTGCTATGTTGAAATGGCCCTTCACCAGAATGCTTCTTTTCTATTTCTTCATGCCTCTGACTGTTTATTTCAGCATTGGGTTGTAGGATCTTACAACCCAATGTATAAATAAATAGGGTTTAAGCATGAGATTTGGGAACACTTTTGATGCCCTAGTTCATGAGGTGTTTGGTTTTTCTCAGGGCAGCCTGAACCACCTTATATTCCTTTGGCAAAGTCCTGTGGCAATTCTGTGTAGGTTTTATTCTTATTTGAAGGATAGAGTAAGACATCACTAATATTGTGGTTTTGTTTTTATAATGGGTTCGAAGTATTATTTTTCAAAAAGAACAGGGTCTTTATTCAGAGTTATGCTTATTACTCAAATAAGTTGAAGTTATGAATAATACCTACTGTTGTGATATTTGGTCATGGAAATTAAGTCCTCAGCATTGTAGGGCAGCGTAGGAAAGGTTCACTTTTCACATAAGCCTGCTGTATCTAGTCTACAGGAAGGAACTTAGTGTAGGTGAGGTGACTGAGATACAAGCACATACACTCAATAACACTTCGTGTCAGTCTTTGTCATTTTGTCACAACAGTTGGATGCAGAATGGTCATGGAGGGCTTTTATTTTATTTAACTTGCATGTCAGAGTTCTAAGTACGTTACTGGTCAAGGTACAGTGAGGCTATTGGCTTTACAAATTTATAAAGCTGCTAGTGAAAGTTTTATGGTTTTCATAAGGTAATACTCTTACTAAAGATTTATTTAATGTGTCCGTGTGAGAAAGTGAATGAAGTCATCTTTTATTCCTTCTTGGGGAGGGGCTATTAAGGAGAAGGGGGAAATGATTTTCTTAAAAAGTTTATGCAACAAGTCAGAAGGCTTCTTTAGTGACAGAAGTTTCATCTTGATTGTAAACAGTCAATTGTTCAGTTCTTTTGTAGCACTTACAAAGGTGTCCACAGAAGTAAAATAAAAGCATTGGTGAGCACTGCATGTGTGTATGGATTGCAGCACTTCCTGGGTCCTTGAGCGCTTTCAATTAAACTGTTGTTTCCTGAGAGCAACACTAATTATTATATTATTATTATTATTTTTTTTTTACAAAACAACCAAAGTGTTTTGAACCAGTACTGCAGTGGCTTAGAAATTCTCCTATAAGGCTTCCTGTTAACAGTGTTACTTGGTATTGTAAACAGCTTGGCTGCCCACTGCCCCCTCCCTCAAAACTAATTCTTGATTAAGGCAATGGTGGTACTAAAATTTGTCAAACGTGTTTAACATATTCATAGGTTTTTGGTTGGTTTGTTTGTTTGTTTAAGTATTGGTAGGACTTGGGTGGTTGCTCTGTGATAGAGCACTAGCTGGTAAGCTTGAGGTACTGGATCCAGTCCTTGCCACCCTTCTCCCACCTCCAAACAAAATAGAATATTAAAATTTTAGATTCTTAAAAGGAAGGTTGGTATTAGTTACAGCTTTTTGTTAGTGATATAGTTGGTCGCCTGGTGGCTTTAGTTATATCCAGATGGTGGTGTCTTCATGTGATGAAATACTTCCTCCTGTAGGCCTCCTTTGTCTGAGGGTAGGTCTCTTACCCCCCATTTAGGTGTATATACCAATGAATCTTCCTAAAGAAGCATGTTAGTGGCAGTTTCACTTTTTGTGAATTCTAGTTTTAGCAAATGTTTCATGGTATAAGAGTAGTTACTAAAAGTTTTGGAATATTAGGAACATTAAAAATTGTTAGAAATTCTGTGTAAACTGGCCAGAGCTGTTTGTAATACTGACATTGTAGGGACATAGGTATAGAGTATGATTGACCTGTGTTAGGTGGAATTATAGAATGTATTTACTTAGAATCCATTAGAAGCAGCCCCCAGAGAAAGAAAGTGATTTCTTTAAGGTCACATAGTGAGTGCAGGCACTGTGAATAGGAATGTGTCAGAGGAGATTGAGGTGTGTTGGCTAGTTGACTTATTGGTAATACTACATTGTCATGAAAGAGTGGAAGGGCACTCACTGGATGTAAAAGGAAATTATTTCTGATGTTTGAAGATACTCTTCTGAAGGGAATGGCTTAGATTGAACTAGATGGAGACTGAGTTTGTATTAGTGCCACAGGAGCATGCTTACAAGTACAGCCTTGCTGCTTGCTTTGCTTTCTTGTTTTGAAGCCGGAACAGTGTTTTTGCCTATACTTTTGTTGTGTCTAGTTTTTACTTCTGTTTTTTTGGAGATAGGGTAGCCTTGGCTGTCCTGAACTCGCTTTGTAGACCAGGCTGGCTTTGAACTCACATCAATCCGCCTACCTCTGCCTCCCTGAGTGCTTCTAATAATTTTCTTAAGCTACACAGACTTTTTTTTTTTTTTTTTTTTTTTTTTAAGTATAAAAGAAAGTTGTATTCTAAAATCTTCAAAATGACAGGGTTTCTCTGTATAGATTTGGCTGTCCTGGACTCACTCTGTAAACCAGGCTGGCCTTGAACTTACAGAGATTCACCTTCCCCAGCTTTTCTGTGTGCTGTGATTACAGGCATGTACCACTGCACCCATCTTGGTCTTTACTTTCAAAAATCACATTTGTTTGTTTGTTTGTATGTGGTTCATGTGTTGTTTTAAAAATCACGTGTCTGTTTGTTTCTGTGTGGGGAGACGTGGTTCATGTATGGAGTCCAAGGATGGCTTGCAGGTGTGGATCTCTCCTTCCATACTGTGGACCCAGGGTTGAACTCAAGGGGCTGGGTTTGACAGCCAGTGCTTCTGCCTGCTGAGATACCTTGCTGCCCTCTTACCAGTTACTTTAGGTCAGTGGTTCTCAACCTTCCTAATGCCAAGACCCTTTAATGCAGTTCCTCATGTTGTGATAACCTCCAGCTATAAAATTATTTTTGTTGCTACTTCATAACTGTCATTTTGCTACAATTATAAATCATAGTGTAAATATCTGTGTTTTCCAATGGTCTTAGGTGACCCCTGTGAAAGGATCATTTGACCCACACGTTGCTCTCCACTGCTTTAGACCTTTTTCTCATAATTATTTGCCAGATTTGGGGGTATATAGTTTAGCCCATTTAATATATGAGATAATCTGAGTGTGAACTGTGTATTAAAAGTATATAGTGATAGTGAGTACCCATCCTTATGTATGGTTCGAGGCTTGAAACTGCCACTAACATGCTCCATGTGGCATTTGCAACCTAATTTCTGGACTTACCACTTCGTAATCTATGTGGTTGTTAGCCATGTGAAAAAGAGGACAGAAGACTTGAGTTCTACATTGTTCATTTATGACCTTTGGCTCTTTTTTTTTTTTTTCATCATCTGTAAAATAGGATTATCTGAAATAAAGATAAAAGGGTATGTAGCTGATATTATTGTCATATTCCATAGTGGTTTTTTTCCAGAGTATGCCT